TGTCCCATTTCGAGTTTCCATTTCCATTGTGTCCCTCGTATCTTCTTTTCACATTCTCCATATATTTTTTCTTTCAGAAACGGGTCGCTCAGGAGTTTGTTGTATTGGAATTTGAGTGCTGCGTTAGGCTTTTTCTGTTTCTGTAGTTCATTCAGTTTACATAAAACAGGGCGATTATCGCTTCCGTAGTTGACACTTGGGTAAGTTTTTCAGTGAAACAGTGCTTCTTGAATCTTTTGTTAATAGCTATGTAGTCAATTTAGTTTCTCCCCCTGGGTTTCTCCATGTCTATAATCATCTTGGTTGTTCTTAGAACTAGGTGTTGGCTATTACCTGGTCATTGGCCGTGCACCATTGGATCCATTTTCTCCACTTCGTTGCAGGTTCCTATTCCGAATTTTCCTGTTATATTCCCTGTCCCCTCTCTGCCTACTTTGGCGTTCAGATCTCCCATGATAATCATGACTAACCCTGTCAAAGAGCCTTGAAATTGTCTAGAATGGAATAGTAAGATTCGATTTCCTCTTCCTTAATTTGCGCTGACGGTGCATACACTATTATGATAGCTACGTTGAAAAACTTTCCTTTCAGCTTGACTATCAGAATGCTTTCGGATAATTGGTAGTATCCCAGAACGCATTTCTTGAATTCTTGATCTAGTATCAATCCTACTCCTTCATCATTTTTCTCTCCACCTGCATAAATAATCATGTTATTGTTACTGACAAAATCACTGTTGTTTGCCTATCTAATTTCACATGCATGTTGATTTTTAGCCTACTCATCTCTTGTATTACATTATCTAACTGGCCGCAGTTGTTCAACGTTTGAACATTCCATGTCCTAAGAGTTTTATTTATTTATTTATTTGATGCGAGCAGTCGCAAGATAACGGTCCAGTGATACCTGTCACTCATGTCGCTCCTTTCTGGGCGAGGGATAGGTTCCGAGGAATGTTATCGTCTTTACGCCGTTTGTGCGAGCAGTCGCTGGATGAAGGTTAGATGACACCTGTTGCACATGTCGGCCCTTCCCGGGCGAGGAGTTAATTCCCATAGACGTAACCCACTTCACGCCGTTAGGCTTCATATGGTGTGTGTTATTAGCCATGATATTTTTTGAGATTAATAGTGGAGTGGTTTCCCGTTGCCTTCTCCATGGTGATTCATGGAGGCACCATCTCTAGTTAGCTGAGAGTTCTTCCGCCCACTGTTAGGTCTTATTTTTCGTCCAACTGGCTCGCTAACAATCCGCCTCACTCGCAAAAACTTAGAGTAGGGTAGTCGGTTTAAACTCCGACATTCCGACCGTGGAATACTTACCCAACACACACACACACACACACACACACACACACACACACACACACATATATATATATATATATATATATATATGAAGTGAAGAAAATGACAAAAAAGTTTTAACAGTATAAGTTCCATTGCCCACTAATAAAACTATACGAGATTATCGTGCAATTATTTTTTTTAATGATGAAATTTCCAACCATACTTTATTTTAGCAATGTGGAAAATTTATTATATAACTATTTTTCTTTATGGCCACCTGCAATATCCATTTTTGGTGTTGTTGCTGCTGGAAGTCTTCAAGTGATGTGGTTTTTGTTATTTGGTACAGTTCTTTCTTTGTGTTGTGCATTCCGAGATGAAATCCGGTCTCCAATGTATGACAAATGCAGGAATGAAATATAGCAAATAAATGTATTGACGTAATAATACAATTGGTAATACGGTTAGTAGATCCAGAAATGCGGTTAGTAGCAATAATAATATATATACAGTCTGGGAAATTCAGTATCGAAGTAAGACTTCTTTCTGAGTCTACGTGCTCGCAACTGTGACTCCTACAAAGTGGTTACCTCACACTCTTACTCTCTCTATTACTCTACCTCTCGGGTATTCATCGGCAGCAGTACAAATACACACTGGTCGAGTCCACTTGTATGAAAAAGGGGTGGACCCCATAACACTTTGTGAGTTAGTCTATGAAATCCGGTGGAGGGCAGCCTTCTACAAAACACACAGGGTCTATGGATCACATACACAACGATGCATGATTATCGGAATTTGCGTGAATTTGACTGTGATAAGAGAAAAAGCAAGTCAAGCTTTTAATAATGACTATTTTATATCCGTGCGAACATTCGTTATTCATATAACAACACTTCGTTTCAAAAAGTAAGCAATTCAAGTCTTCAAGTGATGCTGGTTTTGTTATTTGATAAAGCACCTTGTTTGTGGTTTTATAGCGCCAGTCTAAAGCGTCTGCAAAGGAACATTTCCTTTGAGACTTTAAAGATTCTTTCACTTGAAAACATTTGATCTGAGAAAATATACGAGTGATAGTTTAGACATTTCTGGATGAATTTGACGCCATATTAGTTTAGATTTGACGGGGCTATTTAACTATATGTCTCTTTTTCAGGTTTCGCCGGAGAAGCGTGTGCTATCCTTAGCTTCCTCGAGCTAAAATGAAAGAAAGACAAAACTGCGTATGATGAAGATGCCTTGGGAGCTCTGAGGACAAATGGCTATCATAAATCAAATTAATTACCCTAATTTATCACCTCCTCATGTCAAGACCTAGAGAGTGTCCATCCACCTGTGTGCTTTATTTTTTTCTGTATTAGATCCGTTTGGTAGTATAGGATTTTAAATCAAGGATTATTTTGTTCATATATATATATATATATATATATATATATATATATATATATATATATAACAAAGAAATAATCACGCATAGAATCAATCGGCAATATTAATGCTATTATTGGCGACATACATACATACATACATACATACACATTGTAGGGCCTCTTTTATTCTAAATTTTTATAGTGGATTCAGATTAGGTGTAATCACTACTCTCTCTTTATTTCAGACCATACGATTCTGCAAATAATTTTTTGACGATTGCTTAAACATAGTTTTACCAAAATACAATCTTTTCGTAATTAACCAACAATTCATAATGCCACTGAATCGGACAAAGATTCTTGAGAATGAGAATCTTTTTTTTTCAAAATGCAACATATACAGTTATGAATCTTTATTAATTCTTAAGAATTTCTTTTCAGCAAAAAAAATGTTTTTCTTTGAAGTGGCACCTTTGCAAAGAATTTTCTGTTTCCATATCCGTTTTGTTTTTAAGAACACATTTTATTTTAGACGTTTTAAGTATTTGTTTTTTTGAAAAAAATCACCATAAAACTAAGAATATGAAAATATTTACTAAATTGTTTTTATCCAATCAGACAATTGGGGGAATAATTTGGAAATGGTTGAAGTCACACCAATAAAACCAAACAGCGTTGATGAAAATGTTTAATATTTATCTATCGAACAGCGTGAGAGATGACATGTGCGCATGCGTAAAAATAATCTGCTCTTTTCATAATATTACGTATCGATTCAGATGACATGCAGATACGACAGTTACTTGACATGAGCTTTTTTCTCATTTCCAGAAGAAACTAATATTTTCTTTTGATTATGTCCTTTTGTTTCTCTCAGTTGTATGGCTGCGTTTATGCCTCTGTCTTCAATGTTTCTTTCTCTGCATTTTTCTCTCTATTTTGAGTTGTTTCTTTTTTTTACTTTATCGCTGTCTTTTCATTTTTTTTCTTTTATTCTATCTCTTCGATTTATCTGTTTTTCTTTCTTTCTGATTTCTTTCTGATTTCTGATTTCTTTCTTTCTAATTTCTGATTTCTTTCTGATTTCTTTCTTTCTTTCTGATTTCTTTCTTCCTGATTTTTCTCACTCTTTCTTTCTTTCTTTCTTTCTTTCTTTCTTTCTTGCTGATTTCTTTCTTTCTTTATGATTTCTTTCTTTCTTTCTTTCTTTCTTTCTTTCTGATTTCTTTCTTTCTTTCTTTCTTTCTTTCTTTCTGATTTCTTTCTTTCTTTCTTTCTTTCTTTCTTTCTTTCTGATTTCTGATTTCTTTCTGATTTCTTTCTTCCTGATTTTTCTCACTCTTTCTTTCTTTCTTTCTTTCTTTCTGATTTCTTTCTTTCTTTCTTTCTTTCTTTCTGATTTCTGATTTCTTTCTGATTTCTTTCTTCCTGATTTTTCTCACTCTTTCTTTCTTTCTTTCTTTCTTTCTTTCTTTCTTTCTGATTTCTTTCTGATTTCTGATTTCTTTCTTTCTTTCTGATTTCTTTCTTCCTGATTTTTCTCACTCTTTCTTTCTTTCTTTCTTTCTTTCTTTCTTTCTTTCTTTCTTTCTTTCTTTCTTGCTGATTTCTTTCTTTCTTTCTTTCTTTCTGGTTTCTTTCTTTCTGATTTCTTTCTTTCTGATTTCTGATTTATTTATTTCTTTTTGATTTCTTTCTTTCTTCCTGATTTTTCTCTCTTTCTTTCTTTCTTATTTCTTTCTTTCTTTCTTTCTTTCTGATTTCTTTCTTTCTGATTTCTTTCTTTCTGATTTCTTTCTTTCTTTCTTTCTTTCTTCCTGATATTTCTCTCTCTTTCTTTCTTTCTTTCTTACTTTCTGATTTCTTTCTTTCTTTCTGATTTCTTTCTTTCTGATTTCTTTCTTTCTTTCTGATTTCTGATTTCTTTCTTTCTTTCTGATTTCTTTCTTTCTGATTTTTCTCTCTCTCTCTTTCTTTCTTTCTTTCTTTCTGATGTCTTTCTTTCTTTCTTTTTTCTTTCTTTCTTTCTTTTCCGCCTGTTTTCCTTTGTTCTTTCTTTCGCTTTTTATGATTCTTTCTTATTTCTGATTACATTTTTTTTCTTTCTGATTTCTTCCTTTCTTCTTTTGATTTGATCCTTTCTGTATGATTTTCTGCTTTATTTTTTTATTTATTTTATATGATTCTTTCTTGTCTTTACCTTCTCTTTTTTCTTTCTGTTTGATTTCTTTCTTTCTTTTTGTATGTTTTATTTTTTTCCATATTATATTGTCTTTCTTTTTTCTGTATTTCTTTTACATTTTTACGTGAAAGTGAATGTAATTCTTGTACGTTTTCTTTTATGGCATCATTTCTTTATCTACGTTTCTTTCTTTATCGTTTTTTTTTCTATTTGTGTAATTTGTATCTTTTAGAAATTTTCTTTCTTTTATTCTTCATTTCTTTCACTCTTTGTTTTATTCTATTTTATTTTTCCATACATTCATTCTATTTTTGTTTGTTTCTTTCCTTTCTGTTCAACTTCTTTCTAGTTATGTCTTCCTTTCTCTCTTTATTTCTTCTTCCTTTCTGTATGATTAGTTCTTTGTTTCTTTCTTTCTTTAGTATTTTCTCTTTATTCTTTATTTTTTTCTTCTCCTTCCTACCTGTACTCCTTCGTTCTTTTCTTTTTTTCTATATTTTAGTATTCTATTCTGCCTTCTTATCTCATTTATATTTGTTATCCTTTCGATTTTTAACTCTTTTTCTTTATTTATTTATTTTTCTTTCTTTCTTCTTCTTTCTTTCCTTCTTTCTTTATTTTTCTTTCTTCTTCTTTCTTTCCTTCTTTCTTTCTTTCCTCTTTCTTTCCTTCTTTCTTTATTTTTCTTTCTTCTTCTTTCTTTCCTTCTTTCTTTCTTTCTTTCTTCTTTCTTTCTTTCTTTCTTTCTTTCTTTCTTTCTTTCTTTCTTTCCGTTAAATTTACTTCCGCATGATTTTTTTTTCTTTATTTCTGAATCTTTCTTTCTCTCCATGTTTCGTTCTGCCATTAAATTTATTTACTTTTTGCAATCTTTTTTCCTGTTTCTTTTTTCAGTTCGATATGCGTCCATTTATTAGTTTCTTGCTTTCTAGCCGGCTGGTCGAAACTTTCTTTCTGTGCATTTCTCTCTCTCTCTCTCTCTCTCTCTCTCTCTGTGTGTGTGTGTGTGTACGATTTCTTTCTACTCCAAATCACATTCTTAAATTCATAAATTCTCTCCCTCTTTCTTATGTTACGTGGTTTCAATTTCTCACTGGTTATTAAAAAAATCGTTCAGTGTAAATACAAAAAGAAAACGAAACTCATTTAAAACGAACTTTTTTTTTCCATTATTGCTTTTCCCCTGGGCAGATCGACAAAAGGCCGAAGATATTAGTTGCTGATGGAGAATGTCTTCTGGGAACTGCCTAAGTCTTCTCTTCCAACCTTTTCGCCATGAATATCTTTTTCACTTATTATAGACATTGACTTTAAATAAGGAAAAATACTTTTTGCTTGTCACTGCTGTTTTCTTTTTTTTAAATAAACACAATACAAAAGGTGAAATAGCAAGGCAAAAGCAAATTAGTCATAAATAAATGAAATAAAAAAAAAACAAGATTTTTTTGCAAATTTTGTTAATGAATTTGCCGAAGGTATTATTGCTTGTTTTAATGTTTTTCAATTTCGAGCGAAAAGAATATTTACTTTGAGTTGTTTTGATACGATTAAACAAAAGAAGAAAATAGGTGTTGTGATTTTTAAACTATTAAACGCACTTATTTACAGGCTTTTTTACTGGATGCACACATGCCATATTTTCCGGCGTATAAATTGCTAGTAATCTTTGTTTACCAGTATCACAAAGAGAAAAAAAAAGTCGAGTCTTCAAAATTTTCTTCTACCAAATGATATAAATGTCTAAAATTTTGTGTCTTTTGTAGCAAAATCTAGGAACTGACAGTCGCCTATTTATTTTATTTTCTTGTGCTTGTTCATTTTATGAAAAGAGGGGTGCGTCTTATACAATGAAAATACGAAGTTCAACAGAAATGTTAGAAGGAACTTAACAGTTCGCGCGAAGAGAATGTAGTACGGACATCTGTCTTTAGACTTTTTGAGCTAGATGCTGGAAACGGTAGAAAATAGTTGTTAGGGCAGAGGATTCGGCAGTGGACCACATTGACTTATTTTGTACTGGTGAGATGCAGAAGTACTAGGAAGAAGGAAAAAGTCCAAGAATTATGTCCTGACCCCAAAAAGAAGAGGTACTGAGCAAAATTTTATGGGAAAAATATTTCAGGGTGAGGTTTTGTAATGGAATATCCCACATTACCTATCACCTATGCGTACTGAATATATCAGTAGCTATATTTAGAGTGCACAGTATATACCTGGCACTTTCTTTGGCAGTTCGTCTCCAGCTAGGCTGGTCCAACTCTCTGCTTTCGGGTGGAGAGGAACCCAGACGAAGGGCAGAGCCTCGTCTGGCTCAGGTAGACAGCTTCCCGACCCCGTTTTCACGGGGTCTACGGGGATTTTTTGCCAATTGGTTGGAGATTCGTCTCCGGCTGTGCTGGTCGGGATTTCTGCCTCCTGGCAGGGAAGGGCCCGGGCGGGGCTTTGTCGAGAGGCGGGATCGAGTCTGGGTTGGTAGACAGCTACCCGACCCCGTTTTTATGAGGTCTACGGGCATTTTTTGCCAATTGGTTGGAGATTCGTCTCCGGCTGTGCTGGTCGGGATCTCTGCCTCCTGGCAGGGAAGGGCCCGGGCGGGGCTTTGTCGAGAGGCGGGATCGAGTCTGGGGTGGTAGACAGCTAGCCAACCCCGTTTTTAAGAGGTCTACGGGGAAATTTTGCCCGAGCTCACGGGATCGGTTTTAACCCCGCATTAATAACGGCCTTGTGCCACATCCGGCCTTGTGCCACATCTGGCCTTGCGGGGAGGTGAGGTAAATAACCTTGCTTCGGCAATTAGTTGGAGATTCGTCTCCACCTAAGCTGGTCCAACTCTCTGCTTTCGGACGGAGAGGAACACAGACGAGGCTATGCCGAAGAGTCTCGTGTGGGTTGGTAGACAGCACCCCGACCCCGTTTTTGCAGGGTCTACGGGAAATTTTTGCCCGAGCCTATGGGCTCGGTTTAGCCACGCATTAGAAAACGACCTTCTGCCACATCCTGCCTCGCGGGGAGGTGAGGTAAATAACCTTGCTTCCGGAATTACTAGCCTGCCACCCGATTCCCTGTCTTTCAGCAGTGTATTCTCTTTTACAATAAACCTCTCTTTCATCTACGCACGTGTTGCTGTTCCTTCACTCCTGTACCACGCTTGTCTGTTTGTAATCTCTTTAAGCATACAACACTTTTTAACTTACGAGCAAGAGAAACCCGAAGTAAACCTATTTTTTTCATATACATAAGATAACAGTATGTTTTTTAAGTTTGTAAATTTATGAGTGATTACATCTCTTAGTCATTTTAATAATCTATACAAATAATATATTTATCTGCATTTGGTCAAAATTATTTCCCGAACAAAATGAACCGTTTAATTAATCATTTTCTTTACTCCTACGTTTTGATTGTAGTTTTATTTGTTCAAGCCTCACATGTGAGGCACTCAGATACCTTTATCTATTAAATGATGATCTTGCTTCAACTTGGTTTTGAAAGAGGCTTTGACGTTGCCATCTTTGTCGTTCTGTTGCTTTTTTTTTCATCTGAGAGATATTTACATTTCACTGTTCTATTACAAACATAAAATTTTAACATGAAGAGATATTGAACCAGGAGTATATAACACCAGGAGTAATCACTGAATCATAAATCTCAATGGATTAATTTACAAATAACAATTACGATCAAATATATCACCGGGTTTTTATTAACGTTACCAGAGAAAATGCATTAGTCACTATATATTTTATTTGAATATGTAAATTAAACTAGATACAACACATTTTAACCTCTAAATATATAATTGAATAACTATTATAGGTGTAATTACAAGATCTCATATTATTTAAATAATTGCATTTAGCATTCGTATCCAAGATTCAACACAATTCAACACAAATTTGCTTCTTAAATGTAGAATTTAAATAATTCCAAATGTTTTACATCGTTTTGTGTAAGTGATATGTCCTGGAAAGGGATATATTTGATCGAAGTAGCTAAGTGGTTTTGGCTACTATAACCAAGTAGAATACGGTAGCAAGTAATCGACTGGTACGCGTCGTAGTCGAAGGGAAAAAGTGTAGATCCATGGCGTAGTCCAATGGGCGTCGTTATAGACTTAGCTCTGCGATTAAGGCTTTTCACTCTCCTACGCGTCCGTCAGTATTTATGACGGACACCAGCCAATCATATTCCAGTGAGGGGGGACACAGGTGTACGCATATTCCATTATATCACTGAGACAAATTTTGTCCGGTGAGCATTATAAAACGGACAATTTCCTTGAAGAAAAAGATTATGCCGAAAGCGAAAAGAAAGGCAGTCATTGCGATTATCTCAGAATCAGATACAGAAAGACAGCAAACCTGCAAGAGAGACCTACAAGCAAGAGCAGCAAAAGAAACAAATGAAAGAGTTATAAGCTAATGCAAGAGCTATTATGAGCGAACATGTAATGAAATGATTCGATATGAAACAGAGGAAGAATCTAACTCAAGAAGAGAAAATATGAGATTGCGAATGGGAGAACGTCTTCGAGAAGACGCAACATAAGGAGGAATGGAAATACTAACGGCCATGATTTAGTACCTCCTGTTTACTGGATCCCGGTATCAACAATATAATTGCGACGGATAAAAGATAAGCTGTCATTTTTGACGGCACGCGTACACTAGTTTATTATAAAGAATATAGCTACGATTTAACCAAAGCCATGACATAGCTACCAAGTATTGTGCAGGACCCTGCCTAGCCCTACAAAATGCAGCAAGTTGATATCGATTCCATAAGTGGCCAGAAGATCTCAGGAGAGATGTCTGTCTCCAGCTTTCAGATATCTGGAGCTAATGTATATTGTGCGTAAAGAAACCTTTCTCCCATGCCTAATTGGGCTCATGCCGGACGAATATGTGCGAACAGCCTTCGCCAAATTTCTCTGCAATGTTTCTCAAACCAATTCTGAGTAACTTGGACTCGATGATACGGTGAATAACCGATTCCTACCAGAATACACGAAAGAGTGTAAATGGTCCCTTACAGGAAACATAGCGGTCACCGGCCAATAAGATATTTTAGTCAACTAATGGACACAAGTAAATACGTGAACTCAAACACAGCATCATGCAACCATCATTGGTACGTCAGTGTATAACTTTTCATTGTCAAGAATTTAACATAGGGACACTATAGTTTGAATTTTTTAAGAGAATTTTGCTTAATTTTCAAGAATTCGACGATATGAAAACTTCTCTATTTTGCTTTCTTCTCTTACCGAAACTCTTATAATGTTGCTGCAAAAGTTCCCGGCATTCATAGCATGTTCCTTCGTTTGCATAAACTTACAACTATCAGCTGAACTGTACATTAGATTATAAAAGAAGAATTTCAATTTTTATTCAAGGAGGGTTTGTAATGTAATCGATCCTTCAGTCACTTTCTCACCTGCGTTACGTGGCTTACCTCAGCCTTTTCTAAAAATATTTTCATGCCACCCGATTTGATGAGCTTCCCCCCACCCCTGTTTCTTCGTCTATTAGACGTGCTACTTGATTGGCAAATTGGTCTCAGCGTTTACCTGTTGATCTAGCTAGATGCACCCGCCAATTTTACTCTAACAGTTTCCTTTCTAGCACCTCCTCCCTTCCGATTTCTTGCTTCCCTGATAACTACAATCTTCAAAATTTTGAATGCAACTTCAATCGCCATCTTCTGTCTTCTTGAAGCCTGTTCCGTTTTTGTCCTTTCTTTAATCCACCCCATTCTAAGTCTTCTCATTATTTTTT